CCCACATGAATCAGACAAACGGCCCCCGGTCCGCCACGTCATCGGGCCCGTCGGTTCGGAAATATCTAGAAAACTAAGAAAAGGACCCTATAAATAAACCTTTTCCGGGAGCTGGATATTTTACTTGGTCCGGAAGCCTTTACAGCCTTCGAGAAGAGCTTAGAAACAGGAAGATATTGTGTTGAAGAGAGAGAGAGAGAGAGAGAGAGAATGGAGAGGAACAGAGAGGTGCCCATGAAAGAGAACTCAATGGTGGACGCACAAAGGTGAGAAAGACTCTCTCTCTTTCTTCGTTTGGTTGATTGCTTCTTTGCATAGTTTTGATGATCGAGGTTTTGAGTTTGTTTGGGTGGCAGTTTTATTTATTTATTGATATATATATTTGCAAGTAATCGATAGGGGTTTTGATTCGGGGGGCATTGGGTAGTTTGTGACATTCATGGAGGAGTGCAGGAAAAAAAAGATTGAAGCTTTTAGATGGCGTTGCGAAATAGCAAGACCAAAACTTTTTTATGTGACGAACTGAAAAATAACAATATCATGGAAGTCTTCTGGTTGCATACACTTCAACGAGGTTACAGAGCTAGGCTGGCCTATTTTTTTTTTTTTTTAAATAATGCGTTAAGAGCATCTCCAATCACTCGGCAATATCTCCGTCCCTTTGAATTTGGAGAGTGAATCCTCTCCAATCACTCTCCAAATTTGGAGATCTTCAAGTTTGGAGATGGTTCACTCTCCAAATTTAGAGAGTGAAGCTAGAATCTCGAGAGGCTCTCCGAATCACTATCCAAACTTTTATTATTTACAAATTTATCACCTTTAACTAGTTAATTTCTTAAAAATTACCACTTTGCCATCATTCTTAGTAATTTAAATTAGATGTTTAATTTCAAATAGTTAATTTCTTAAAAATTACCACTTTGCCATCATTCTTAGTAATTTAAATTAGATGTTTAATTTCAAATAAATATAGTTAAAAAACCACTTTGCCATCATTCTTAGTAATTTAAATTAGATGTTTAATTTCAAATAAATATAGTTAAAAAATTAATCTAATTTTTGAGATAATTATATATTTAAAAAGGTCTTGTCGAGATATTCAAAATGAAACTAAAATTAATTTATTTTAGTATTATTATAAAATTATTATTTTTAAATTAAATAAATAAGTATCAAACATGAAAATTTAAATACGGGGATCTATTTAACTTCCCTCATAAGAAAATATAATCATAAATTATAATATTTAAATTACATTACTTTGTTACCATGCATTTGCCATAAATGTTAATTTAACGCGTTCTGAAACATAAAATGAGCTTTCCTATCTTGAATCTTCCTATGTCAATCAAGGAATCGTTGGAATCGTTCGGCATCATCAATCTCCATCAAGGAAAGGATTTCAGTTCGATCATGTTTGGACGATCCTCAAGGATGCCGAGAAATGAGCTGACCCTAAATTCGATCATGCAACTGAGAGCATCTTTGAAGGATCAGAGTCGAACACGCAAAGTCGGCCTAATGCCACATAGGACGTTATGGATCTCAACACGGAGAGCGAAAGTTTTATGAACATGAGTGATGACCAGTCTCCCACGGACAGCCCTGCAAGTCGGCATGTTGGAAGAAAGAAGGAGAAGGCAAAGAGAGAAAAAATCTGCGGAGTTTAGTTCTGATGAGGGAATTATTAAGAGTATGCAAGAGATGGATGCTAAACGTGAATTGAGCAGGGATAAAATGGAGCGATTGATGATAATAAAACTTAAAAATGAAAAAATAAAATTAGAATTATGGTCTAGAGAAGTAGAACAACGTGACCAACAATTAGCTCTTCAGCGTGAGCGGGGATAGATAAATTATGTTGATTGATCTAAGTAAGATCGTCGATCAAAGTGAACGTGCTTACTATCAACAAAAAAATAAGAAATTATTAATAGAAAGGAATATAGAGCTTCATCATTCGACTATAGATTTTCCTCCAGAGGGTCAAGAGGATTTTCTGAGCTTCTTAGAGGAGCTGTAGGAGGAGAAAACGAATATGGATTTTCCTTTAGAGCTTAAGAAGGATTTTCTCAGTTTGTGGGAGAAACTGGTTCTGTAGGAAGAAATAAATATGGGGATTCATCGAGAGATCAAGATGGAACCGGTAGTTATAACGATAATGACCTGTCAAAATTTTAATTGTTTCTTATCATATTTTATGTTTGAGTTTCATGTTTGCGATCTATGGTATGTTGTGTTAGAGGTTTATGTTTGTTTCCTTGTTCCATCAATGTATGCTTTGTCATTGTTATTTTAGATTTTATTTTTTTAATATGTTGTATTTTATTATTAATATTGTGTTCATTTTAAAGTTCTCGGTGACATCTTTTTAATGTTATTATTCTTTTTCCAAATAAATTATTAAAAATAAAATTATTAATGTAAACTATATCCAACATTACTAATTTATGTGGCTTTTTTTGACAAAAAATAAGAAGAAAAATATTTATAGATTTTGTGTTGGAGCAAATCTCCAAATTCTAATCTCCAAATTAGAATATTCTAGAATATTCTAGGAATATTCAATATTCCAATTTGGAGAGTGGAATTTGGAGAGTAGGGTTGGAGATGCTCTTACACACCAATAGTTGTGAAGTTGGCACCTAGGCGCTAGGCCTAAGATGATTTCTTTTTTTGCTTTAGTGGTGGTGAAGGAGCTTTTGCCGAAGGTCAGAGGAGTTGAAGGTGTTCATAGTTGATGAAGGTGTTTGTAGAAAACCAGGACCAGGATTTAACAGTGTTGTCCGCGTAAGCGGTATACGCTCCCCTAGCCTAGGTGGCTAAGACGGAAGCTTTTTAGAACACTGCATTTCAATCACTATTATCTGCATACGCTTCAATATTGTCTAATGCACATAAATTTGTTTCTAAGGTAGTCCAATGTTTTCTGAATTAAAATCAATACTATTATATGGACACGATAAACAAATTTGATATGCTATTCAGAAGTTAGTTACGGAAATGGTGTCATTAATTTACTGGGACAGTTTGTACTTTTTTAAAGTTTATTATGAGATTTCCATTATGCAAAGAAATTAGATGATGCATTACTATTAAAAAATTGATTAGGACAAAAGAAAAAGTGGAGATGAATTTGAGAAATTTTTTGTGAGGAAACATCAATGAAGGTCTATATATCGTGTTTCATTTTGCGAAGAAACATGAGTAAATATGGTGAAAGACCAAACTTAAAAATCAGTAGTGATATAGGAATAATAATTCATATGAGCATATTCCAAGGTTTTAATGAGTTTTATCAATTGATGACAAGGTGACGGAGAGTCTATTAGGTATGTGCATGTACAACCTTTGGGGACAATTCTGGCTAGAGTAGAAAAGAGGATGGATGTAGATATAAGATCTGACATGGTTGAAGTTATGAAACATGATTTGATTGTGTTGCATGCTCTAATCTTCATTCTCATATCAATTTATCTTCCGTCTTCTTAATTTATGTTTGGACTCTGCTATATATTGTGCATACTCTAATTCTTCATCCTACCTGTTCACAATATTTGTTCTTGCCTTGCTCATTTCTTTGCCTCTAAAGCTTGCTCCTTCTCCAGGAAGAAGAAAACAAGAAGCCGCCGCAATGGGGACACAGTTGAACAAGTTCTAGCCAAATGGCAACAACTCAACAGAAATCAAGAACCCCAAAACCCCGAGAACTCCCCTCGAAAACCCCCTGCAAAGGGATCAAGAAAGGGCTGCATGCAAGGAAAAGGAGGCCCAGAGAATTCGGAGTACAAATTCCGGGGAGTTCGGCAACGAACCTGGGGGAAATGGGTCGCTGAGATCCGAGAGCCTAATCGTGGGTCTCGCCTCTGGCTGGGGACTTTCGACACCGCTTTAGAAGCCGCTGTTGCTTACGATGCTGCTGCAAGAACATTGTACGGGTCTAATGCACGTGTCAATCTCCCAGAACCAGAAGCAGATGCCTCTCCTGAATCTTACGAGTCTGCCACTAGTTCTCATGACCTAAACTCCGTTCAGGAGACCAAGGTTCCTAAAGTTGAAGCAACAGATGATTTGACAGCTGAAGATTCTGGTTTTGGCACCGCTATACTCAAGGACAAGCCTAAGGAAGAAGAGTGGCACTTTGATCAAATTCAAGATTTGCCAGAGGATATGTTTAATGTCGATGAATGGTTACGAGACATGGATATGGATCCATCGCGTGGTACCTCGAGCGAGCAGGACAAGTACGCATTCACGCAGGGCCACTTTGGGACGATTGATGCGTTACAACAAGACGGAAGGTTTGATGCCGATACCTATTGGCACTATGATGGCGCTGGCGCTTCGTTGCTGTTACAGAATCAGGATGAAGACTTAACGAGAAACTTTTGGCATATGGATTGAAATTGATTGAGGCAATGGTCCTGACTTATCCTAACAATTCTGACTATCCTAACAATACAAATTTTGGAACCTGTCGGTTTTGATGATCAAGGAATTCCCGGGATGGAAGTCGATGGTGTGGGCATTTTCGCGAGGGTTTCTGAAGGATGCCGGGTTATGATTGTGTTTGTGTTTTCGCTAGTTCTCCCTAGATTTTTGGTTGGAAAGGGAATTAAGTTTTTTGTATGATTAGAATGTTTGTTTATTTTTTTTGGTATGGGGGGATGTTTTGATACTAGGAAGGCTAGAGAGAAACATGTATATACAATGCTGAACTGAAGTCGCTAGTTTAGGTTTATATAATATAATGAATGATACATATTTTGGTGGTGGACGTTGTGCGTTTTGAACGCTTTTACTGGGAAGTAGTATTAGTGATAGTCGGTTCATTCCTGAGTCTTGAATTTAGTTCCTCTTCCTTCTAACCATTAGACCAAAACTCGGTGAGATTAATGATTATAGTTTTATATTAATTCTAATATGTTCGTGTTGGTCAAGCGTTTTTTTTTATGGGTCGAAATCTGGACTCGCGTAGCGGTGGTAATTTTTATAAAAAAAATCTGTATTTAATTCGTGGCTGGTGGGATTTGAACATGAATTACTTTGATACCGTCTTATATTTAGTTCTTCTAACAATTTTACCAAAACTCTAAAGTTATGATGAAGATCAAGGATTATAGTTTTATATTAATTTTAATATGCTCGCAGGTTGAGTGTCTTTTTTTTATGGGTCAAAACTTGGACTTGTGTAGCGGTGTTAATTTTTAAAAAATCCGCATTTAATTCGTGACCAGTGGAATTTGAACCTGAATTGCTCTGATATCATCTTAAATTTAATTCCTCTAACCATCACACCAAAACCCTAAGGCTGTGTTTGGCAAAGGGTTAAATGAAGGGTTAAGGAGGTTTAACCCTTCATTAACCTGCCAAACAGAAAAATTAGCCCAAAGGTTAAGTAACCCGCACGTGACCTCAAAACTCCATTTAACCCGTGAATTGAAGGGTTAACTGTTCCTCGTGAGAAGGCGGAACAAGGCTTGTTCCGCCTTCTCACGCGAGGGTAGGCGGCGGAATTTCCCCCCCAAATTCGCAGCAAGCTTCTTTTCCCCCAAATTCGCAGCCAGCTTCTTTTCCCTAGCAAGCTTATTTTCCCCCAATTCGCAGCAAGTTTCTTTTCCCCCAATTCGCAGCAAGCCCCAGTCTCAGCCTCCAAAAAGAGGTAAGTTTATCTACACTTTGCCCCCTCGATTTTATATACAACTACGAGGCTTAATCGCCCTTTCACATTTTCTTTATGATGAGACCAGATATGATGTCACGAGATGGCGATCGTGGAATTGGATGGTCTCCCGGCATCCAAAGTGAGTATTGTTTCTCTTTGAATTCTTTGATTAATTCTATTGTGTTCTCGTCTTAATTGAGTTGATGGACGATGAAGAACTTGTTAAGTTATTACAGCTTGTTTGTTGGGGGTTTTAATTGCATGGGTTAGATTTATTTATTTTATATTTTCCTCTAAAAAATTCCCTCTACTTTTTCACCTGAGAGATCTTTCGCAGCTATTATTAATAGGAATATTTTAGGGGGAACAAGCAAAAAGAGAGGAATTTCAAGCCGATTGGGGATTTCTAGTGACGGGAGGCAAAGGAGATTCGAGGTATGTTGATTTCTTCCAGACTACGTACTTTGTTTTCTTTCCCCACAGTCGTTTTCTTCCTTGATAGCTGCAAATCACATTATTATTTAATCTTTTAACTTGTCTTGATTTTAATTTAATTTGGTAATTTATGAGATATCATCAGTGATTATTTAACTTGTATATTATCTGCAACTGCAATTTATCTCTAAACATGTGTAAGTCGGATTGGGTATGAAGTAACTTGAGAGATCTTTCGCAGCTATTAATAGGAATATTTTAGGGGGAACAAGTAAGAAGAGATGAATTTTTAGCCGATGGGGGATCTCAAGTGACGGGAGGCAAAGGAGATTCGAGGTATGTTGATTTTGCATTTTCCTTTGTTAGCATTTTCCTAATCACAATTGCATTCGATGACAACGTACAGATTCAGATTAGCCATCATGAAGTTATTAAATCATTCAATTTTTTGTGAAAAATTACAAAAAAGAGCACAGATCTTTTCCTTTTCACGAACTGTTCCAGATAAATTATCATATCATGCAAATTATAAGCAAATCACAATTGCATATCAACTACAAGTTACTTGTACAAACTTGTTATTGTTTCAGACAACATAAGTTATTGTTATGCTTAGATGTGATATGATGAACCTGTAATAAGGTCTGTCTCTTGAGTATTTTTGTTGCTGTTGTTTGGAAGTAACTCCTGAGTATTATTATTCAAGTAGTGCATGTTTGATTTCTAAGTTTTTTGGAATAAACCTGTAGTCAATTACCAGGAGCTGGTTATTTTGCTATTTCACTTTGTTTGCTCAGCTCCTGAATATTATTATTCAATATGTTTGATTGCTCAAGAACAAAATGAAGTAAAATTTAGTGCCAAGTGGATGGTATCATCAAGTCCATAATTTAGTAAGTTTCGCAGATATTTATATAGTCATTTCGTAGATCAATGTTTGTTGAAGGACTATGAAGACCAAGTTTGTTGAAGTTTTGCGCATCTTTTTCTATATTGCAGAAGAACACGATTTGCATAAATCACAATTGGTTCAATGCTTATGACCTTTAGCTTGTTGTGCATGTTTATGGCTTATCCATTGCGTCCTAGTATAATAATATTTGCATATATATATTGGACACTTTCTTTTTACAAAAAGTTGTACATATCGGAATATTCTAACAGGCAACTACTATGATTTCTTTATCTTCATCAGAAGATTTGCTTCAATTCGACCCTCGACAATCTAAGAAATGATGGAGAAGCATTCCTTTGTCCAAGCAAGGGCTAACATTCTTATTATTAAGCTTCCATCAATTCGTAAGGTTGCCTTGAGAATGGTATCAATCGACGCTGCAGCAGAAGAGAATCAAAACAAATGCTCTGAAGAAAACTATAGACACCTCATTACATTGTCTGATGTTAATTAGAAAAAAAAAATTACAGAGGAACCAGGCTTCATTGAACTATGCACGGCGACTAGAACGCTTGAAACTATTGAAGAATGACAAGCACAAGATCGTTCAGAAGGGACAAACCCAATATTTTTAAGTCATGGAGAATTTGGAGCTTCTAAGGATTTGTTATTTCAGGTCTAAGCATCCATGGCGAAGATTGTAAGTTCGATTTGCAATCTAGTCTAGTCTATGATGATGCTAAAACTTTCGGCATTGAGGGAGTGGTGTATGAAAAAAAATGTCATCGGAACATTCAAGGTTAATTTGTATTTTGTTAAGGTAAAAATCCGTGTTATGTAGATTCGCATTACGATTGTTATTGAGGATAAGTCTGTGTTTATTTAGTCTAATTTTTTTATTCTTGATGAGATAATTATTTATAAATCTTCAATAAGGACGAAAGTGGTATTTTTAAAAAAAATAATGAGATTAATCTTCTTAACCCCTCTTCATTTGCCAAACACAAAAGAATTAACCTCTTGTCTTAACTATTGTATCCAAACGGGTTTAGAATTTTTTTAATTTTTTTAACTCTTCACGATGGATTAACTAAGTTAACCCTTTTCTTTAATCCCTCCTCCTTAACTCTTTGCCAAACGGAGCCTAAAGTTATGACGAGTATTAAGAAATTATAGTTTTATATTAATTCTAATAGTGAGTTTTTGTTGGTTAATATAATTTCCTAAAAGATTTTGGCATTGAAGTTTGTAAATAATCAAGGTGATGCATTTCTCGTCTTCGATCTTCACTAAATTGCAAGTGATATCAAACCGTCGGGCGATGATGATCAAATCTTTTTTTTTTTTTTTTTTGCACTCGTAACACCTCTAACCTGCAACAAGAACTGCACAGAACCAACTCTCCCTTCCAACAGTAATCACAAACTCTTAATCCTGTTACAGAAACTGCATTCATCGATAACAACGGCGCCATTTTTCCGTTACAAAACAGCTCGTTCTCTAGGACAACAAATGACGAAGCCCCCTATAATGCAGGAGGTTTATGTGCAATTAACCAAAGCATTATACAGATTCGAGCAGGTTTGCTGTATTTGGAGGAGTCCAACCCCCCTAAATACTAATAAATACAATGGCTAACACAGAACAAAATGGATCACCTCTCTCTCTCTCTCCTCATCTTCTTCCACTTCCTCCAAACAACTCCCCGATCATACCCTCCACATCCTCCACCCTGTACTTCAACCTCACATTCCCCACTTTAAACCTCCCCACAAAACTCCGGTAGGCC